AAAGAATGGATAGCATTGCTTCAGTAATGGAATAGTAATTTTTAAAGTGATTATGCCTTACCCGAACCCAACCGGCTAAAGCCTTGAAATCACGTATATAATTTTCTAGTACCAAAATAATCTCTTGAATCGATGCCAAATTTTCGTAGCATTCAACTGTTTCATAAATATCGTTGACAGCGCGTTGCAAATTGCCCAATAAAAGGGCCCAATATCTTGCCTGCAGTTCCGATCTCTTATCACGTCCAGTTGATGCACTTCGGTGCACAACGCGCCTATTCGATTTATCTGGGGACTTAGTTTCTGACAAGATCAATTTTCGATTTAAGATCGTGGGTCGAATATGTGTTGGAGGCTTTTTCGCGTTTGTTCCTAAAAAAAAAAAAAAAAAAAAAAAAAAATTATATATTGACAGAGTACCTAATTATTACCTAAATTATTAAAAATTACTTTCATCGTCGCTGGATAAATGGTAAAGAATAAGATTTTTTGCCTCTCGTCCTTCACGCGCAATAACATTTTTCATTTCCATGATGGAATCGTCAAAAAAAATTAAACGTGTATCCAAGGTGGGTTTTGTATATCCAAGTTTGAAATCTCACATGTAACTATTTGCGTTAGTTTTACATATAAAATGAGAGATTATTTGCAATATATTACATTTTAAATACTGTATATGCTACAAATTGTTCAAAAATATCATTGATACCTATCTAATTTTATACTCCCACTTGTGTTTTTACTAAGACAAAATACAACATGTATTGCTAAAGCAGGAATTTTTATTTACAATATAACTTTTGCAATTGATGAATTTTGTTTAGCATACTGTCAAACAGAATGAACATCCAACTGTATGACAAGTACCTAGAGTTGATCAGAAGAATGATAAGTACTTATTTTTTCTTCAATGATGATAAGAATTGAAATTAAAGAAAAATCACGAATTTCATATCATTAAACTTTAATTGTCTATTTTTCCTGCATTATTTTCAAAAATATGAATTTATTTCAATAAAACAATCCAATGCGATGTTTACTTAAGCTATCTAAAGTACGGATTGACACTTCGTAAAATGACGTTGAAGCTATACACACTCACACTGACACACAAGCGCAGTAAGAAAAAATTGGTCAAATGGTGAAAATTAACAGTCGATTCGAAGAACACGTATAGGTGTTTGTTCTAATTTTCTTCTGAAACGAAAACATTCCATAACACCATCATCAGTCATCATTTGTTCAATCATCATTGTTGAAGTTCACAACGACAAGTATATTCAGTCACTGTGTAGTTAGTTTTTCTGTTGCTGCTGCTGCCATGATGTCATTAGAGTGAATTTCATAGCGACATCAAATAAAAAAAATTAATTTCTCGGTTGCATTAAATTCAATTTTTAACTTTTCGGTAAACCAAATATTCACCATGGAATCGACCAATGTGAATGAATTGCGAGCTGAAATTGACCGATTGTCGCGTGAATTGGATCAAGCCAGCAGTGAAAAAATTCAATCGGCAAAATATGGTCTTGGTTTGTTGGAAGAAAAATGCATGTTACAACAAAGATGCGAAGAACTAGAAACTCTGTACGAAAATTCAAAGCATGATTTGGAAATAACACAAGAGGTAAGCGCTTTAATTCAACTCTATACACTACACTACCATCGACATATAACTAATTTTATTTTATCGAGCTCCAACAAAAAGAAGTGAATAAAACCAATTGAAAAAAAAAAGATTGGTAGTGTGTTGAAAATCTAAACAAAGAGAATCAAAGAGTTAAAAAAGGAAAAGAAGAAGAAGAAGTGAACACAATGAAGTAAGAAAAAAAAAATATCGTTCCGAATGAATGTGTATAAATTTCATCGAAACGTCACATAAAAGAAGAATCAATGGAGAAAAAAGCTACTCAAAAGAAGCCACATATTCATTTTCGATGTGTGTGCTGTTTATAAATTTCGTGTACAGCTGACAATGACAGTTTTCGGTGTAATCTTGTTTTACTTTTTCGTTATCCAGACATTTACATTTCTACCAAACGTGTATGTGTATTTTTCGTAAATTGGATTCATTGTGAAGTAAAATTTTCGATGAGGAAGTTGTATTGTATCGAGAACCGGTGTATCGTAATGTTTTTGTTATTTTAATCATTTAATTGGTATCATTATTATTATTTTTTTTGAATAAGGCTTTGGCTAAGTTTGAAACAACGCAAAAAGTGACGAATAAAAGTGGTATCGAGCAGGAAGATGCTCTTCTTAATGAATCAGCGGCGAAGGAGACCTCGTTAAATCTCCATATCATGGACCTGGAAAATGAAATTAAACAAGTGATTAGCTAGTTTGATTAATATGATTTGCATACATTTATACACATTTAATCTATTTTCCCAGCTTCGACATGAATTAGATCGTGTGCGAAATGAACGAGATAGAATGCTTCAGGAAAACAGTGATATAGGCCGTGATAAATCTGATGCTGATGCTGAAAAACTCCGGCTGAAGGTATGCCAAATATTATTTAATTTAAAAATAATTTGTGACAATATACTCAATTAAGTTCGGTTAAATAATACAACTTGTTCTTACAAAAATAGATGGAACTTAAAGATTTAAAGTATCGAGAGACGCGAATGATGGCCGACTATTCAGAACTAGAAGAGGAAAATATTACACTACAAAAACAAGTGTCTAGCTTACGTAGTTCACAAGTTGAATTCGAAGGCGCAAAACATGAGATTCGTCGTTTGACCGAAGATTTGGATTTGCTCAATTCACAAGTTGAAGAATTGACCAAATTAAAACAAATTGCTGAAAAACAAATGGAAGAGGCTTTAGAAGCACTACAGGTATGTGACCAGGAAATTAATTGTGATTCCAATTATAACAATTAAACTATTTTGATTTTTCAATTATTTTAGGGTGAACGTGAAGCAAAATATGCACTGAAAAAGGAGCTTGATGCACATATCAATCGAGAATCAATGTACACAATCAGTAATTTAGCATACACGATACGAGGTGGCATGGATGATAGTAATATCAATAGTGACGATTGTGCTGAGGAAGATAATTCAGCGCTTAAACGATTAGAGGCTGATTTAACAACTGAAATCAAATCACCGGATGGCACAAAAGTTGATTTATTCTCTGAAATCCATTTGAATGAGCTAAAGAAATTGGAGAAACAGCTCGAATCGATGGAAACAGAAAAGTCGCATTTGACAACAAATTTACGAGATGCACAACAAAATTTGGATAAGAGCCAAAATGATTTACAAAACTTTATGGCCCGTTTATCACTATTGGCTGCGCACGTTGATGCACTACAATTGCTCAAAAAACAGGTTGAAAACGATGAACAACAAATTGAAATTTCAAAAGAAAAAGACAAGCTGATATTCATCATTAATCAATATGCGAATTGGTTCCAATTGAGTTCAAAAGAAATCGATGGCTTAAAATCAGATTTGGCTGAGCTACAAAAAGGTTTGAATTATTCTGACGCAATGGTTACCCTACGCGATGAAATCACCAATTTAAAAAATAAACTTCTCTCCACGGAACAACGTTCGCTTGATTTGCATAGCGATGTTAAGACTCTTGCAAAAATTTCACAAAATGCAGGTCAAAATTTAGGATCAGCACGATCTGTGCTAGTTGGTTTGACAGAAGACTTGGCACAATTATATCATTTGGTTTGCACAGTAAATGGTGAAACACCATCTCGTGTTATTTTGGACCATAAGAATGAAGAGTTTAGCTATGAAAATGACTCACTTTCGGCAATCCAATCACAATTTAAATCCGACGTTTTAATTCAAAAAACACATGACTTACAGGCTTTAGCTGATTCGGTAGAAATTAAAAAATATGTTGACATTGTTAGCGATCAACTGAAACACTTGAGAACAGCCGTTGAACATACGATCGAAAACAATAAGAACGGTTCGCGAGCCAATTTGTCACCAATCGACCAAGATACGCGAGAAGAAATCAACGAACTGCAAGAACAGGTCGTAAAACTGAAAAGTCTTTTGTCGACGAAACGCGAACAAATCAGCACATTGCGTACGGTATTGAAATCAAACAAAAATACTGCCGAAGGTAGGTTTAATGAATTACACTGTGTGCCTTTTTCAACTTCAAAAACCTAACTGACATGAAAGACATCATTTCCGCATAGTTTTGGAACGAATAGTTTTGGTTCAATGGCATCATTCGTTTTTCTCTATCACGTCGGAGTTTTTTACAATTTTCCTTGGACATTTTTTGTAAAGCCAAAAATGGCATCAATTTTAAAAAACTTCCAACGAAAATTGTAAAAAACTCCGACGTGATAGAGAAAAAAGAATTATGCCATTGATTTCAGCGTCCCAAAATTATGCGGAAATGGTGTCTTTCATGTTAGTTAGATTTTTAGTGACGCACCGTGTTATTTAAATCAATAATTACTAAAAAAATTGATATAAATTAATTTTTTCAGTGGCATTGACCAATTTGAAATCAAAGTATGAAAATGAAAAACTTGTTGTCAGCGACACCATGTCGAAATTACGCAATGAATTGCGCATTCTAAAGGAAGATGCTGCAACATTCTCCAGCTTACGTGCAATGTTTGCTGCTCGATGTGAAGAGTATGTTGCGCAGGTCGATGATCTGACACGGCAATTGGAAGCAGCTGAAGAAGAGAAAAAGACTTTGAATCAATTGTTACGATTAGCCGTCCAGCAAAAACTAACGGTCACGGTATATTCAAATCTATAAAATTAGTATTACCAATTGAATAATTTTTATAAATTTATTTATAAACAGCAACGTCTTGAAGAGATAGAAATGGATCGAGAAATGCGTCATGCAAGACGATCAATTCCCCAACAACGCGGTGGTGGTAAATCCAGTTTTGGCAGAACATCAACACGAAACAACAGCAACAATACGACATTTTTTTAACAACAGTTAAACGTACAGCGTAAATTATTAACATTAGTTTAAACATTAATCAATTTGTAAGTATCCATACGTATTCCATTGTTGAATCCCGCATTACATACACGACCAAAAAAACATAAGCATTTGATCAATTGTAATATTTTTTGAAACAAAGGTTATTGTCTATGGATGAACTAAATGCATAAAAGAAATCATATGTACCAAAAAGCTGTACGTATTAGGTTGTAGAAGTGATGATGAACTATAAAAATGATTTGAAATGCTGTGTTTTTTTTTTCGTTTTGAAAAAAGAACCGATTCTTATTGATGAAAAAATGTTTAAAAACAAATACCCGACCCGTATGGTCACGTATTAATCTATACAATGGAATATAAATAATGTGAAACTAGTCTCTAAGATCGATTGTACTTAAACTGACCTGTTTGGTGTATTGCTCTATAAGTGAAATTGAAATTTTTACGAAACTAAATCACTTCATAAATAGTAAAAGTAAGGTACAAATTTTGTATCAAATGAATAACAACAGCAACAAGAACTACAAACATTTTACAGGATTTATCCAAAAATAAGAAAAAAATAACACTCAATAAGAAATATACTACTGACAGAGATAATCAAGTCATATGAATATTATTTTAATATCTGATAGACAAGGAAAAAAAGAAATAATAAACCACTTCACACAAAACTATGGTGCATAAAATCGATTAATTCTAAATGCAATGCCCAGAGGCATACACATTAAAACGCTACGTGTACGCGACACATATTTGCACAATTACAAATGAAAAAGGAACGTCTTATCAAATATCAAAGGGCCATCCAAAAACATTTATCTATTTTACTTCCTCAACGATTTTTTTTTCCTTTTAAAGTAAATTACTGTATGTTTGCATGCCAATGAAGAAAGGTGTTTTCATGAAAAAAAATATTTAACAAAGAAAAAATACAATTTAAATTGAATAAACCGTTAACTGAAAATTTCATGTTATTACATGGAATTTTTGCATCGTTCGTTTTTTCATTTCTTGTTTTTGGTGATTTCCGTAATCATTATTCCACCCGTCCTATAGGAATATAATATAATGTAATACAAATTCACCCATTACCAGGCACAAATTCACGGTAAAATTTGGACCCGAATTTGTGTGTAGTTTAAGTTATTTTTATTAAGGTGTGAATACATGGAAAAGAGAAACGATAATCATTAGTATCAATTGAATTGTATATGAAATATCATTTTTTTAAATTAAAAACTTTACTCACCTACGGGCTCTTTTCCTCCGTACTACCTTTGTACTGTTCTTATGAACGCACAACAAGGCCACAAGATTTGTGTAACACAAATGGTGTCAAGCCTAGCTAAGCTAACTAATCGTTATAATATTTGTTTTATTTGATAATTTATGGATTCAATGCTGCTGCTTGTCAGTTGACATTGTTTGGTGGTCTTCTCAACGAATCAGGCACTAGTACGCCAAACATCCGACAAAGTCCTGTGTAATTAGAAGCAAAATCATTAAATAATGAATAGACTCTATTTTCAATTGATTCATACCTTTGAGCATAATACATTTTGCAGCAACAATATAGCGGTGCCAAACAACTGTCTGTGAAGCAGCAACATCACATTGAACATTTAATGGCCAATTTTTGTAGGTAACATTAACCTTTGACATTAAACGCCCATTCCGAAGTATTCTCGCCACATCCTGATGATTGCCATTGCGAATTCGAAGCTTAATTTCCCTTCGTCCCTTTTGCAAAGCACGTTTGCTAACCGTTGCTACAATTATATTTGGTAGACTAGCGACTGAGTCCGGTAGTCCAGCAATCGGTTTCGCTTTGCAACCGTAGCACACTTTGAATCGATGCGGTTTTGTGTTCGCTGGGAATCGTTTTTGGCAATTTGCGCATGTTTGTGATGTTCCCCATTCATCTTTCATTTTCACCACTGAATGGCCAAGTTTCTTGACGCTCACCAAAAATTTGCGAGATCCTGGACATCTTTTCCGTCTCTTCAAACCGAATGGCCGATTGGGTGGCATCTCCGATGCACCAAAGATAATTATTGACGGCATGTTGTTGGTCACTGTCACGGCGATGTTATCATTTACTTGGTTCGAATTCAATGAAGTCACTTCATGTAATGATCAAAATCCAGTCGTGAATATTTGCGCGTAGCATATGCTGACATTCCTTTTCGTAGCGTTTTGATGCGATACTCAATGTACCATTTCCATGTTGAATTACGCGGTGATGTTGGACCGAATGGGTATGTCTTCAGATGATTCTTTTCCTCGATATCAAACCATCCAGCCAATTTTTTCGCTTCTTTTTCTCTTTGTTTCTGCCGAGTTTCCCAGTAGAATCGCGTGTTTGGTATTGTGATGTTTTCCTTCATAATTCAAATTGATAAAAAATAATGAGTTTCGATTCAAACACATTTCAAATTACATTTCAAAATATCCCACCTCAACGGCCGGTTCATCAGGTGTTTTCCGGATGTTGCGACGCGTTATAGCCAACCACGTTTTTTCATTCGGATCGATGCCAATAGCGTATTTCTTGCCTACAAGATTGTCCGCCTGTAAATGCACATTTTCGTTGCACGCCTGCTCTGGTTTGGTGTACAGTGCCGATACGGAAACACTATTGGTCACGATTTGATGATGGAATTGTTTAGATCGTTTGCACAATTGGTCGATTTTATCGACGTTGAACAACAAATTCGATAGTCCATCTCGATCATGATCTCTGTAGTATTTTTCGGGGTATTTATTTAGCCGGTTGGTCTCAGTATTCATGAATCTGGGCACCACTTTTAGCTTGCTTGCCAATTTGCTATACAAATCTCTCATATCCAATCGCACGCACTTCAAATAATAATCGCATAACGGTACAAGAGCAAAACTGTTTATTTTCCGTGGTCGATTGTTTGTTGGCTGTTGAAAGTTGGGTTTGTTACGGAATATTTTGTGAATGGTTTTCACCAACGATTCAAACCAATGATCTTTTACAAAAAATTTCATGCATTTTTCGCGTCGCCATCCAATTGCGACCAGATCATCCAATAAAATGTTGGCCTTTTCTATTCTTTCCACATTACCATTTGTCAAGTCGTTGGATCGATATGCTAACATTTTGGCATTTCTGATGTCGATGCCATCAAATCTCGGTCCATAGATGTTGTGGTTGTGATACCAGCATCGCATTCGAAAGAATGACTCAAGTCGATCTTCATACCAAGTGGTGAGACCAGTTTTCGTATTTTCGATGTGCTGTTTGACAAAATAACGAAAACCATTCTCCAACTTTTCCTTGCTTGGCCATTCGAACTGTTCATCACTGAAGTTTTCGACCATGAACCGAAACTCTGGCGGTATGGGATTTCGGCTATTATTATTGTAAACATTTTCGGCCAATACCGCATTGAAGCAATCGAAGAGGAACTGTCGACGATCTCGTCGCAAAAAGAATTGACGATCTTCATTTTCGAGTGCTTCATTCACCTTGAATAAAATCAAAAGTGAGGCCAATGAGGCAACTTCCGTCATTTGAAGACTGCGCTCAAACAATATTTGCGTCACAACTGCTGCATGCTCGGGTCGAAGTATTGTTTGCAATCCACATTTTATTGCAACGAAATTATCTTCTTCTTCTCTTTCGTCATCGTATACCGGCGAATCGTTGTTATCTCTTTTTCTTTTCATTCTCGAAGAACTGATACAAATAAACGAAAATAAAAAAATACACACAAATTTAGAAAAAAATGCACCAAATATAGCATTGATCACAAACAGAATAAGATAAAAACACTTCTATCACAAATCAAATGAAACAGTAATGAAGAACGCATCATAAATATCACTTCTTACCTCAACAAAGTGACTCTAGGTTCAAAATCGAATGATGAAAGTTATTTCCAATGTGACATCAAATATTTTCCCGATCGAAATGTTGTTGGAATATTCACAGTAAATTTTATCAACACTCTGTTATTTCGAAATTAAAACAAAACTGAACACAAAACCAACTGTGAATATATCCATTCCTCAACGAACAGCGTTCCGAACACACAAAATCGTTGAAATTGAAATGTCAATAAAGTCAATTGATCGCCCAAACCACGCTACAAACACTCACATCTAATTCTCAAGAAATCCTCTTAAAAACAAAGCAAAGTTTTATTTTAAACAAAATCGGTTGGTGCGATCGTAGTTTCAAAGTGATGGAAGTTGTTTATACTAACAATACTGTCACACGATGCGAGCACATTTTTAATACATATAAATGAATATCGTTGGATTTGGTTTGACACATATACACCGCGCCAATCGAAAAATGTCAGAAAGATGTTAGTTGCATCTCGAATAATTGAAAGCACTAATTCCACAAATAAAGAAAATTAAATGCAATAAATGACGTATAAAAGAGTTCTTCTGCAGAGTTTTAAATTGAATTATGCAAATCTCTTTCCTAACAAATTGTTTATTTATTTATTCGAGCGTAAGATTTTGATTTTCATTTTAAAACTGAATGTATTGGGTTGTGTTCAGTGTTCACATAATGTTGTCAAATGAAATATTATTGGAAGTGAAAGAAACAAGTGGATCCATTCCATTGAAATTCGTGGGAACTATGCATATAATCTCTGTTCCATTTGACACGAAAATGACCATCAGAATGGGCCACCCGTCCTAGTTATATATCGAATTATTTTTAATAATCACTATTTAATTTATAAAAGTGCTGTGCTACAACAAATGTACACAACTGTAGAATTACAAACAAACAGAATGCGCCAAATCAATATATGCCGTCTAAAAATACCACGTTTTAATCAATGTTGAAAACAATTTCATTTGAGTGGAAAATACACTAGAATATTTACAAATAATTTACAACGAACTTTTGAAAGAATACTAAACGAAGAATTTCAACTGATGTTTAGCTCAATAGTTATGAAAAAAATTGCCGAGAGTTCCATATTTGACTTCTCTCCTAGTAGTAAATTCTTACAAAAATAAATAGAATCGCGATCTGTCCAAAATTGTAAAAAAATATACCTTTAAATCTTTTTAGAAAGACTATTTTATATTTAGTTTAAAAGAGGGGATGTCAAAACAATTCAAATCAAAGTAATAATAATTTAATAAAAAATTAATTAATTCATTCAACCAAATTCAAAGAAAAAATGTGAAAATTTCCCCGTCGTGTTTGAAGTATCATCAAATAAAAAAAAAAATATCTTTTTACTTGAAATATTTTGATGGAAAAAAAAAAAAACACATTGTTAGAATGCGTGAAAGAAAAACAACATTTTTGTAATTTGATAGCAGCTAAAATTCTCATTCGATTGTAGTTGTAATAACCAGTATAATTTGTGCTGTGATTCGCATTTTTGTGGATCGTATTATATATGCAAAATTTCTGTCGTTGCCTTATAAATTATTCAATATTTTTTCAATGTATGTACGTCAATAAAAATAGAAATATTCATGATGTTAATCAAACTCTATCCAAGCATATTGTGGCTTTTAATTGCTTAATCGAAAACAAAAATTCCAAATTGAAAGCAAGTGCAATAATTTATAATGAAGCAAAATTATTTGGAAATTCATTCCCTTAACAAACAATTTTACATAGATTGGTTTGAATCATTTTTTTTGTTCAGAAGCTTCGTAATTTATGTAGTCCTTTTTATGTTTTTAAGTAAGACCATTTTCTTTGAATTGTTTCAATTACCATAATGCAAATTTAGTCTAAATTTATAACGCCGTATATTCATACAATTGTATCAATCTTTGTTCTCTTTTCCGTCACGATTCTTTTTTTTCAAATTTCAACCAAATTCATTTCTGAAAATAAAAAAATAAATAACAAAAATTGTATTAATAAATAGAATATCGATTTCGTAAATTTTTTCGACACAATAGATCTTCGCAATTTAAAATTCGGCTTTACGGGATAATTAAGGATTGCGTGGATTGAAGGTAATTAATTATCAAATAAAAAACCTCTATCAAGGTGAAGAACGAGTGACGAAACCAAAATTTGAAACACAAAATTTTTGATATCAATTTTGTGACGAAAATATAATAATAATAATAATAATAACTGCACCGAACAGCGTTCCTTCGCCTTGG